AATCAGAAAAATTTATTCTATGCGTGGACAAACAAGGCGTGCGACCGCACGCCTTTCCTGGGAAAGCCTGGAACAGATATATATTTTTTTGGGAACTTTTAACTAAATAAAACCGAGACATGGTTTATGACATCTTGTTACACAGCAAAACATAACACATGTTGCAAACCAATTATTTGAAGCAATTTATTATTCATGTATTCATACTACTTTATGCTATATATTAATCTACATGATAAAAATTATTTCTATGAATTAAACATATACATGTTTGCTTTCCAGGTTAATTAACATCATCATCAAGGACACAGAACAAGGACGAAGAATACATATATCATAAATATGTAAACTTATTTTTTTCGGTGCATATACTTGCACAGCAAAAATGTACAACAACATTAAATGTGTGTAATTTAATGGTTTCACGCTAAGGTTTTAAAGATTTTCAATCAATTTTTATCAATATTTATATATAGATATATAAATATTGATAAAAATTATATTTTGTGTGATGCACAAATATTACAAGGTTGATACGAATCACCTAATGTGATTCGTATCAACCTTGTACTATTTGTAAGAAAAAAGAGTGGAAACTTTGTCATTAATCATAACACATTCTAACTTGTGCTTGACTTAAAAAAAGTCTATGGTTGTTAAGTAGAGCTCATTTGACTTAAAAAAACATATTTTACTTTGAAAATTTCCATATTTTTTAACATATTGCATTGGAACAGAGCAGCAGTATGAGGTTGAAGATTGTTGGGGTTAGTTCATAAAACAACATCAAAGAAACAAAGATTCTATTACTGAAAGTAGCAACCTTTCCTCTTCATCTTTAATTCTCTGTTTAAAACAGATTTTCCAGTTGAACCATCAAAACTTTACTTTTAAGAAGAAGAAAAGTATTAAAAGGTTTTAATTTTAATTTTGATTTGACTTTTTGCAGTGTGATCCATTATTACTTGAAGATCTACAGAAGCACTGTAGTTTGAGATAATATTTCTGAAATGATAATCTAAAAAAAGACATAAAGTACAGTATTGCCTTTCATCAATATAAGAAAATCAACAGTATTGCATTAATTATTTATTAATTGTTTGAAGAATGGAACTGAATTTTCTAGGAGTTAACAGATCTCACAAGATAAAAGATTAGATTTAAGATTGGCTGCCTTTTCTAAGCCATCAAAAAAAAATGACTCTTTGTTAAGACAGAAGTATATTGTTGTGCCATCAGCAAATAGAGCCACTTTAGATGTAAGATTGTCATGAAGTTCATTAAAGATAAAAAACAATAAGGGACCAAGTATAGAGTCTTGTGGTACCCTAAAAATTAATGGAAATGAAGTTGCAGCCTTTGAGGACAAATTTAATACTGAGGTTAGAATAAGAATGATTAAACAACATTAAAAACTTTCCCAGATAAACCATATGAATAGATTTTATGGAGAAGACCATCATGCCAGATATTATACGATGCCTTTAATATGTCAAGACCAATAGCCCCAACCATGCTGCCACCATCTAATTCATGATAAAACCTTTCTGTTATAAATATAAATAAGTAACAATTAAATCATCTGTAGGGCAAGGGGATTGAAACTCATATTGAATTTCCTCATTAAACTCAATATAAGATTGGTTAACTAAAGACTCAAAGGCTGAACAATAATTAGAGGAGTTAGAGTGTTCACAAAAGTTTTTTAGAATTGGATGCCATTTTCCAGACAAAATTAAAAAAAATTAATCAATCACTTATTAAATAGTTTAAAAGTCCTGGAAAACAATTTTGTAAGAATATAACAGGAATGTATTTTGTAAGAATATAACAGGAATGTAGTAATAACTTTTTCAACAGAAGCGGTTTATTAACGTGTGATTTATTAATTTGTTTCTCAAGAAAGTGATTTATTAACTTTATATTAAAAGTTGATTCATTAACTTGTTTCTCAAGAAAGTGATTTATTAACTTTATATTAAAAGTTGATTCATTAACTTGTTTCTCAAGAAAGACAGTGTGGTTATTAGATTCAAGAGTTGAATTAAAGTAAAAGTTCTTTGCAATTAAATCTACATTATCCTTGAAAAAGACAAGATCAAAAATTGAAGGAAGGGTGAACTTTATAATTAAATGCTCTTCTACAGTTCTCTGTGTCTTTAGGGCCTATCCCTCTCCCAAGGAAAAGGTGGAATTAATTGCAAAAAATTTTTTTTCTTAACCAACTCTTGAATTTTATGCCCATACTCTTCTTGCAATTTTAGTTAAACCCATTGTTAGACATTCAAATCACTCCAGCTTCCATTGTTTAAGTCATATATCAATTAAACTTTTCTACAGCAAAGACAACATTCCTGTCATAGTCTTACAAAAGTGTTCTCCAGAACACTATTCAGTTCTCTCTAAACTATTTAATAAGTATCTTGTTTTCCTGCTTGCTGGAAAATGGCAACTGTTGTTTCAATTTTCAAAAATTTTAAAAAATCTCTGAAGAACATCCTGACCCCTCCAACAATTGTCCAATCAATCTTCTATCTAATATTAGCAAGGTTGTTCAGTCTTCAACAAATTTCTAACATACCATATTTAGTCAAATGACTTGCTGTCAGACAATCAATACGGTTTTGGATTCTCTCGCTCTACAGCTGACTTGCTAACTAGGGCTATTGCTCTTGACATATCTAAGGCTTTCGACAATCTAACAATTGTCTGACAATCAATACAGTTTTTATCTTCTCGTTCTATGGCAGACTTGCTAACTGCTGTGACAGTTAAAAGATTCTATTATAAGATATAAGGCGTAAGCATAAGATAAAGACGACAAGGCAAGGGCTATTGCTCTTGACATATCAAGCTTTAATAAGTCAAGAGCTTTTTTTCAAGCTTATAAGAAGACATAAGCTTTTAATAAAGTTTTGCATACTGGTCATACTTGCATAAGCTTGCTTTATATGGTGTATCTGGCAAAGCTTTTAAGATTATCAAACCATTTCTTTCTAACTGCTTTATATAACTGCCTAAAGTCATCCTTGAAGGCCAACACGCTTCTTCGTATCCAGTAAAAGGTACCCCAAGGTTCTATTCTTTGTTTTGTTTCTTATCTACATTATTGATCTTACTGACAACCTTATATCTAAAATGGCTCTATTTGCTGATGACTCAACTTTATACTACTGTCTTGACAAAAAGTCTTCTCTTTTCAATCACTTAGAACAGACAGCCAATCTTAAATCTGATCTCACTTCTGTAATAGATTGGGGCTTGCAGTGGCTTGTGAATTTTAATTACAATAAAACTAATATATTAACTGCAAACAACTATTGCTAATTATTAATTAATTTATATATATATATATATATATATATATATATATATACATATATATATATATATATATATATATATATATATATATATATATATATATATATATATATATATATATATATATATATATATATATATATATATATATATATATATATATATATATATATATATATATATATATATATATATATAAATTAATTGATAATTACTGCTAATACTGTTGACACTCATTATTGAATGGCAACCCTCTCACTGAATCCTCTTCTTTACATCTTCTTGGATTATCTTTCATTACTGACCTCTCATAGAAACCATATATACAACCAATTGAAAAAATTGATTGCAAAGCATCTGCTAAGGTTGCTTCTCTTTATTGTTCTCGCCATTATAATACTCCAAATTTTACTCTCTTCCTCTACAAACCTTTTATTCCCTGTATATAATGCTGTTGTCATGGCTGGTACTTCTAGTAATGTTTTTTTTTTTAAGACAAGGTCCAAAAATGCATTGTAAACGTAGTTGGACCTGTTTTATATACCAAGCTTGAGTTTCTCTCTGTTGTAAAATTGCATCTCTTTCTCTTTTCTACAAGTACTACCACAAGCAATGCTCAAAGGAGTTATCATCTCTAGTTCCATCAACTAAAATTCATTATTGTTTGACTTGTAATTCAGCAGTTTCACTCTTTTACTGTATCTGTCCATGCATCTACTAAAAACTTTTATTTGTCTTGTTTTTTTCCCTGTTCTTAAATCCTTTGGTACTCATCCCATTTTCATGTTTTCCTGATTTTCCCATTTTCATGTTTTCCTGATTTTTTTTTATAACATAATTTATTTTACTACTTCACTTTTTTAATTGTAATAATTTTTATTATTTTATTTGTAAAACTAATACTTATACATTTCTGAATTTTGACCAGATTTTTGCATCAAAAAAAAATTTAAACATGGTTGTTTTAATGAAGTTAACAGTTTTTGTTTAAAACTTGCTGTTAAATTAGATATTAGGCAGGGTGAATAAAAAAAAGCAATTGCTTTTATTCAGTAACTGGTCAGCTTTACATGAACAAAAACTTCAGTTTTTTGCTCAAATTTTTATTCATGTAAATTAAACAATTACTTGTTTGGAGTAAGTTGCTTAGCTTTACATGAATAAAAATTTGAGCAAGTTCGCTGAAAATTTTATTCACGTATGGCTAAACAATTACTCCAAAAATGCTGAGTAAAAGCAATTGCTTTTTTTTAACCTGACCTATTGATATTTGATTTTATCAAATCTTTAATTTTCACTTTATATTTCTTTTAGTTAGTTTATAAAAAAGCACTTTGTTATTTAATTATTTTTATCACACTGCAGTTTTTCATAAATGACTTAAACAATAATTGTTAGAAAATTTTAAAAACTCTTGCTAAAAAAAGAAAATTAAAAAAAAAATAAAAAATTTAAAGCTTGCTAAAGATAAATTATGAAACTGAAAAATTATTTTAAAATTCTATTTTTTTCAAATTCCAATAATTAATCAAATCTTATTTTATTCAATGGAAAAAAAAATGTATAATTGCAAAAAGTTTTTCATTTTATTTTCAAACTATACTTAACTAAATTATAACTTTTATTGTAAACATTAAATTAAAGACAAAAAATATATTAAATAATAAGAAACTAACATTTAATATCCCTGTGTACAATATTTTTATTGTGTAAGTATTCCAATCCACAAAGAATTTGATAAGATTTTTCTGACGCTGTCTTCTCATCTAGAGCTTTATTTGATACTTTATCGTAAAGAGATCCCTGAAAATTAACATTAAACATATATGTATATATGTATATATATATATATATATATATATATATATATATATATATATATATATATATATATATATATATATATATATATATATATATATATAAATAAATATAAATATATATATAAATATATATATATATATATATATATATATATATATACATATATATATATATACATATACATAAATATATATATATATATATATATATATATATATATATATATATATATATATATATATATATATATATATATATATATATATATATATATATATATATATATATATATATATACATATACATATACATACATACATACATACATACATACAAACACACGTTTATATGTTTACATATTTGTATGTTTATATGCTATCTAAATTAGACTTTTATTTTTTTCACATTTTTTTCTCCTCGTATCTTGTTCTTTTTGGAAAAAAATGAATCTGTACAAAATTTTAGATCATTTGATGATGTTTTGATGCCCGCCTATCTAATTAACAGAATGATTATCTGTTCACCACCACTGAGAAAGATATAACCACTACCTGGTTTACAATTTTAGAAGTTTTTAAATAAAAATATTTGTAAATATGTTTTAAGCGGTTATAAATGTGTTTTAATGACAAAGAAGCATGGCTCCTCTGTAATTTACTTAAAGACCCCAAAAAAGAGATGCCAGTTACCCACAAATGTGAGTGTACTCTACTTAATTTTTCTTAATTGTGAACACATGCAGAAAGACTAAAGTGAGATATCATAAAAATCATTATGTAGAAGCATTCTGGCATTCAAAAAGGTTGTTATGTTTTTACAAAAAAAACATAAACTTAATTGTGTTAAACTTAACTAAAATATTTTTTTTACTTGAGAAACCTAAATGATGTAGATGCTAAAACTAACAGACAATGATAAAAGGTTATTACATTTTCATTTTTTTTTTATTTTTATAATGAAAAAATTTAACTTTTATTTTTATAATGAAATGTTTTACCGTTATAATGATGCCAACAATTTTTTTGATTTCATGTAATGAAAGAGATTATTAAAGAGATAATTTAAAGAGATAGATTATATAAGGGGTCAAAAACAATTAATGTCTCTGCAATACTGACATAATGATCCTTCCATAGGTGATTTATGTATAATTCCAATGAAATTTTTTTTAATGGCACCCTTTATTCTTAAAAATCATTTTGCCATAATTTCGATTATATTCCATTTTGTTTTGCAATCCAAAAGCAAAGCTGATTCAATAGGCTTTTTTTCAGTTGCATATCTCTATAATACATCATTTTTTATAGGAGATTTTTTAAATTTCTTTAAAATTTCTTTTCCTTCAATTGTTTCTTTAAATGAAGTATTCAATTGCAGCTATTCCTGTTTCTGTACTTCATTTGAAATTATATAGCCTGTTGCCGCAAGGTTGTGCCGCTACATTGACTGAGGATTAGGAACAGGGTCACAATTTTTTCTTTCATTATTATTATTTTTTTTTTACTTACTACACCGTGTGTATATATATATATATATATATATATATATATATATATATATATATATATATATATATATATATATATATTCCTATAGTTTACAGCTAAGAAAACGTGTTTGTGGTAAAAAATGACTCTTCTCTTGTTTGTGGTATTAAAGCTGACAAAAGTAAGATCAGATTATGTCAAAGCGCATTAATTTAATTACAAGAAACAATTAAACCACAAAACCGGTAGTGATGTAGTGGTAGAGCGCTCGCTTCATAAGCAAGAGGTTCGATCCCCATTAATTTCCTGGTAGTACGGTGCTAGACTTGTTTCTCTGCATAGCGCCATTGTTCATTAAGGCTCATGTTTCGGAGTTATAGAGTTGAGAGAGGGTTATAACCACAAGTAGCCTCTTCATCTGTAGTGGCCTTCTCGGCTTTAGGGAGGCGAATTACAAAAAAAAAAAAAAAAAAAAAAAAAAAAACCCCGCAAGTTAAAAGACTAGAGTGTTTTTAAAAACATTCTGAATGTTTTCATTTTATATTTTAAAAATAAAAACATTCTGAATGTTTTTACTTTTATTTTTTAACTGTAAAACATGCGCAAAGTGTTGCTACATTGACTGACATATAGCCTGACTATCAACAGAGTACTGCTATATTGACGGACATATAGCCTGACTTCCAACAGAGTGCTGCTACATATATATATATATATATATATATATATATATATATATATATATATATATATATATATATATATATATATATATATATATATATATATATATATATATATATATATATATATATATATATATATGTATATATATATATATTTTTAACATTATCACTCCCAACAAGACTGCAAGCAACCACTAATTAGAGTTGGGAGTTACTGGAAGAGAAAAGATAAAGATTGTAGAGTAAGATTACAATTGACAGACGACTTAAAAGATTACAAATTATATGAATTAGGAAAGCAGGTTAAAAGAAGCGAATACCAAAGAATTGATGTTCAAGAAAAAAAACTAGAGGAAAAAGAGTTTTTGGAGCACTTAAGAACAACCACAGAAAAAGGATAAGACAATTGAACGACGACTAATGAATTTTAGTAGATGGCACAAGAGGCGCTAGCTCTTAAGAGCAGTGTCCATTATAGTATTTGTAAAAAGAGAAAAAAAATCATGCAAAATTTTAACCTATTGTTAAAAAATACCATTGCATTTTGCAGCATAACTGCATTTTGCAGCGTAAAGATATATAATATAATAAGCTTTTGTGTAACACTACTAAATAAAATTTAACTTCTTTTTAAATTGGAAAACATAATTTATGATTTGTTGAAAAACCTTTTGTCATAAAGAAACAACATTACAACAATGTGAAAATAGTTGGAGGTTTGCTGCAAGAGTAGGTCTGTTTGCAATGTGTTTTTGCACCTTGTCTAAAATAGAAAGGGCATTATGAAAAGAACCCCCCCCCCCTCTCAGATATGGCAACAGTATTCTAGACAAGGCCAAATTTGAAATTGATAGAAATAGAGAATAGAAAATAGAATCCAGAATAAGAAAGTGTCGAACTCGATAAAGAGATGCAACTTTAGCAGATGCTAATTTTGCAACGGATTTGATATATGGTTTCCAAGAAAGATCAGAAGTAAGAGTTAATCCTAGAAGATGAAGGGTAGATGACTCATCAAGTACATCAAGTACCGTTCATAAATATAGAAAGATCTAGATTATTGAGATATCGATTGGTTGAAAAAAATTGAGTTTTATCTGAATTAAAGTTCACCAGCCACTGTGATCCCCATGCTGTAGCAGAAGTGAGATCTTTTTCAAGCTCAAATGCCCCTTCCAAGCAATTAGAGAGAGTTGGCTTCTTATCACGACAAGAATAAATGGTAGTATCATTAGCGAACAATGCCACCCTAGATGTGAGAATGCCTGGAAGATCTTTAATGTAAATTAAAAAGAGTATAGGGCCAAGGATTGAACCTTGAGGAACCCCTGAGGTTACAGAATAAGAAGAAGAGTGCTGTCCATCAAGTGCAACTTTTATACTACGATTGGAAGGAAGGATTTAATAATCTTAAAGATGTTTTCAGATACACCCTAAGTTGATAGCTTATGGAGAAGACAAGCATGCCAAACTTAATCAAACGCTTTAGAAATGTCAAGAGCGATGGCCTTAACCTCTCCACCTTTATCTAATGCACGATAAAACCTGTTGGTTGTTACTGTTAGCAAATCAGCTGTAGAACAAGATCGAAATCCATATTGATGATCAGAAAGTAAGTTATAGGATTCAAGAGATTAAGTGTTTGTTAATCAAAGATTCAAAATCCTTGCTTATGATTGGAAGAAGACTAATAGAATGGTGGTTAGACAAATATATTGCTATCCAGAATTTTTGAAAATAGGGATAACAGATGCATCTTTCCAACAGACTTGAAAAAAAGACTCTGATAGACAACAGCTCCAGAGAACACTTCTGCAAGACTAACGGATATGTTGTCTGGGTCACAAGCTGTAGAAGAGTCTAAGCAAAAAATCACTTTAGATACAGAAGCTGGAGTGATATAAATGTCAAGCAATGGATCAACCTGTTTGATGGCAAACCAAGTAGAACACAACTAATGGAATTAAGAGATGATATTAATGAAAAATTTATAGCAAATAACTAAGTCGGAACCATACAAGAGAGGTGGAATAACAGATTTGCCCTTATTATTGATGCTATTCCTTCAGAATTCACAGGAGCCTAATTTTAAATATTTTTCAAATTTAAATTTTTTAAATTTCAATATATATATATATATATATATATATATATATATATATATATATATATATATATATATATATATATATATATATATATATATATAGATTCTTCAGAAATCACAGGAGCCTAATTAAAATTTTTTTTTTAAATTTCAATATATATATATATATATATATATATATATATATATATATATATATATATATATATATATATATATCAAGAGCTATCAGAGCAGGGAAATGTACAATTTTTATTCAGATATTTTTATCAATTGAGATTTTTTAATCTTTTATGTTATTCACCTCCTAAGGTGAATTTAAATAAGTAGTAGTGGTCAAAGAAGCCCACTACAGTTGAGGAGGCTACCTTGTTGTGGTTAAAACCCTCTCTCAACTCTTTAACTCCTAAACACAAATCTTAACAAACAAGGCCGCTGCACGGAGAAACAAGTTTGTTCATTTTAATTTCAAGTTAAAAGTTGAATTGAAACTTCAGTTACTACCTCCCATTCTCTAGCCTTTTTTTTTCCATTTCTCATTGACATTTTTAATTATATAGAATAATACTTTTAAATTTAAAATAAATCAATACATATAGATTTAACTTTGGAATTTTTTTTTTTTTTAGAATTTTTTTTTCTATTACAGTTTTAAATTATATCTAAAATTCTTTTTGAAATTTAAATTTGAAAATTAAAGTAATTTGAAAGTTATAAATTGTTAATATAATATATTGTTTATACAATGTATAAAATATATTTTAAATAAAGTCAAATAAAATAAAGACAAAATAAAAATAAAACCCAAAAAACCCACAAAATAAAAATAAAACCCAAAAAACCCACTTTTTTTTTAAAAAAAAAACAGGTTTTTGCCTACCCTGCTTATAGTATGCTGCCACAAAGGAGTGCTGCTACATCAAATAAGGATTTGGCATGGGGCAGCAACTTTTTATTTTATTATTCTTGGTTTTTATTTTTGTTCACTAAAAAATTAAAACACATTTTTACATTAGGAGAGCAAAAATGGTAATAACTAGTGACAATAGTGATGTACCGATTGCAAATGCCGATTGTGGCTAATAATAGGTTTAATGTATTCATTTAAGGGTATTATAAAAATATTAAGGATATAAATTTAACCTATTCAACAGACAGTGATTTGACCTACTAGCCTATGCTATTGGTAACCAGCAACCAATTAATCACTTTAACCATTGGCCGATTATTCGACAGATGGCATTGATTGATTAATCGGTATTGGCTGATGCACCAGCATTGGCTAATAAGCCAAACCTAACTGGAGCATAGGCACACCTTATATATGCAAATTGCAATCCAATTATTAAGATATTACTTTTATATGCATACATTAAATCATTAGCTTTAATTGGCCAATGTGCCGATGGCACATCATTAGTATTAAGTAATTGCATACTTAGCTATGAATTATGTATAATATATATATATATATATATATATATATATATATATATATATATATATATATATATATATATATATATATATATATATATATATATAAATATATATAAATATATATATATATATATATATAAAAAAATATATATATATATATATATATATATATATATATATGTATATATGTATATATATATATATATATATATATATATATATATATATATATATATATATATATATATATATATACACAACTAGAAAGTGCCAAAGTTTAGAATCAGTATGAATTAAACCTAAAATTAAATAAAATATCATAACGCAAATGACAGCAAAACACTTCTAAATAGTGATAGCTTTAGTCTATGCATAAAGAAAATTCCTATTTCTAAAAATAGCTTTTAAAATTTATAAAACTTATAAATTCTTGGAATCATCATTTAATAGCGTTATTTGCGAATTTGTGACTAATATCAACAAACTTATTTTAAATTACAAAATGATTTGCTATTTTCATAAAATTTATGTGGAAACAACAATAGTATTCAGTTGCTAAGCGTGCTCAAGCTGTTGCACTTTCAGAAATAGGTTTATCTCAATGACAGATTTCTTGATTTTTCAACAACAGATTAACAGACTATGAAGCACCCACCCAAGCAGATGATTCAGGGGTGTATATATGTTTCAGGAAGAGGTGGTCTCTTTTCCTGTCTTAGAAACAAACAATGAATGGCATAAACTATTTTAATTAAATGCTTAAAGAAAAATTGGAGATGGGAATTCATAACACCTTTATCTTTATGTACAATGGCCCACTGTGTCATTGTGTGAATATTGTCTCCACAACGCTTTTTTCTAAAAAGTAAATGCCCTTGATTAGCCTGGGAATTTTCCTGATATTAATCCAATTGAAAATGCCTAGAACTTTTTAAAAGATGCGATAGCAGAAATGCAACCAACGTCTTTATGAAAGTAAATACAACTAAACTCTTTGCACTCCAAAAGCCTTGACCCTTGATGTCAAAAGTGTGACTTGGATGAAAAAAATATCAATCATGTTCTAAAAGTTTAATCTGGCTTGTGCCCAAGAATTATAACATATTTAGGATTTCTAGTCAAAGTTTAAATGTATAAAAATAACAGGGAAGCTAAAAATGAAAATCAACTGCAAAAAAGAAATGTCTTTGTTTAAAAAATTGATAAAAATCTTGTATAACATATGAGCTAACATGCATACAGAAAAATGTTTATATCTGCCAAACATGAGCCATTATCCAATCATCATAAGATCTCATTTCTTTTTTATACAAATACTAAAAATAGTTGCTATAAGTTTTTTATATAATATTGATGTTGTTTTACGCTTAGCTCCGAGATCCGGAGCTAAGCGTAAAACAACATCAATATTAGATGCACAAATTGTTATGATGGTGCAAAAAAACCTTTTTATCAGCACCAAAAGTGTCAAGCCTCCTTGAGAAAGATTTTGGGTTACGAGTGAGCTCATGTACTATTCGAAATAGATTGAAAGAAAGTGGATTCAAAGCAAGAATTCCACGGAAGAAACCATTCCTTTCAAAAATCCATTGAAAAAAAAGATTTGCTAAAAAATATGTAAATATCCGGCATATTTACATATTTTTATCATTCAGGAGGAAAGTTTTCTAGACGGACAAGTCAAAATTTAATTTTGTGAAGTCAAATGGAGTTCAAAAAGAATGGAGAAAAAAAGGTGAAGCATTCACACTTACTTGTATTCAAGGCACATTAAAAATTAGTGAAGGCAATGTTATGGTATGAAGATTGATAGCTTGGAACGGAACAGGAAAACTGGAGTTCATTGATGGAATTATGGACTCTGAGGTTTATGTTAACATTCTCAACAAAAATCTTCAACTAAAAAACTGCAATTAGGAAAACATTTTATCTTTCAACAAGACAATGACCCTAAACATATGTCAAAGAAAGCAAAGGAGAGTTTTTTATCAAAATATTTTTATCAAAAGCAATTGTGTTACTTAAATGGCCAGCGCAAAGTCCAGATCTCAATCCAATTAAACTTGTATAACATATGAGCTAACATGCATACAGAAAAATGTTTATATCTGCCAAACATGAGCCATTATCCAATCATCATAAGATCTCATTTCTTTTTTATACAAATACTAAAAATAGTTGCTATAAGTTTTTTAATTTTTATTTTGTGTGTTACTCAAACAATATTTTTTAAAGTGGAAAATAAAATCACTAATTGCATTGCTACGTGTTTTTAATTTTATGAGCTTATGTCCTCCTGTTCTCCCTTTTCTAAATTTGGATAATTTAGTAACAATGAAAAATGATAACAAAACAAAATTTAAAATTGCGTACTTAAACACTCACTATCTACATAATAAATGAAAAATTTGAAATTATAAATAAAAATGAAAAACTGAAAAAAAAGTCGTGAATAAATTAATAACACAAAAAAAGATAAACAGATACATAAACAAATAAATGAAACTTATTTACTCCTTCCATGTATTCCATTAAAAAAGAAACACATGTGCTCTTCGAAGAAGAACCATAATATTTCACAATTTGTTCATGCTTTAATGTTTGAAAAAGTGAAATTTCATGTTTAAATTTTTCTACTTCTTTTTTTGCATTAGCATTATTGTCAGTGTTTCCTGTGTCAATAGATTTCATAGCCAGCTTTTTCCCTGTTCTTTCATCTATGCAGAGGTAGACCTAAAATAACAAATATATATATATATATATATATATATATATATATATATATATATATATATATATATATATATACATACATATACATATATATATATATATATATATATATATATATATATATATATATATATATATATATATATATATATATATATATATATATATATATATATATATTTATATATATATATATATATATACAGTCAGAAAAATAAGTATCCGAACATAAAATTTTATTGTGAAAATTAAACTTTGTCAGGTTATTTTAAAAAAACATGTTTTTGATAAATACTTTTAAAATTATTCTAAAAGCAAATTTAATCACGATTTTATATAGCAAAAAATTATTCAACCTTAGTTAACTTGCGTTGTTAAAATCAACGATTCCCGAAGTAGAGGTTAAAACTTCAACGAAAAATAATTATCTGAATGTGTTGTTTTGCAAACAAAGTTTTGAAATTGATTATTAAAATAAATTTTTAAATCAACAGTTTTAAAAATATTTTTGTTTTACAAGGAGTAATTTTTAATAATTGACTGATATTTTTTTAATTCATTTGATTTTTCATTGATATCATCAAGTAGGGTCCTAAGCTCAGTGCAATTTGGTTATTGAATTGTTCAATGAAGGTAAATAAAGCAACTGGAATGGCAATAGGAACCGTCAGCAATCTGATTAAAAAGTATAATGTGTTTGGATATGAGCAAAATCAGCCGAGATCCGGAGCTAAGCGTAAAACAACATCAATATTAGATGCACAAATTGTTATGATGGTGCAAAAAAACCTTTTTATCAGCACCAAAAGTGTCAAGCCTCCTTGAGAAAGATTTTGGGTTACGAGTGAGCTCATGTACTATTCGAAATAGATTGAAAGAAAGTGGATTCAAAGCAAGAATTCCACGGAAGAAACCATTCCTTTCAAAAATCCATTGAAAAAAAAGATTTGCTAAAAAATATGTAAATATCCGGCATATTTACATATTTTTATCATTCAGGAGGAAAGTTTTCTAGACGGACAAGTCAAAATTTAATTTTGTGAAGTCAAATGGAGTTCAAAAAGAATGGAGAAAAAAAGGTGAAGCATTCACACTTACTTGTATTCAAGGCACATTAAAAATTAGTGAAGGCAATGTTATGGTATGAAGATTGATAGCTTGGAACGGAACAGGAAAACTGGAGTTTATTGATGGAATTATGGACTCTGAGGTTTATGTTAACATTCTCAACAAAAATCTTCAACTAAAAAACTGCAATTAGGAAAACATTTTATCTTTCAACAAGACAATGACCCTAAACATATGTCAAAGAAAGCAAAGGAGAGTTTTTTATCAAAATATTTTTATCAAAAGCAATTGTGTTACTTAAATGGCCAGCGCAAAGTCCAGATCTCAATCCAATTAAACATCTCTAGGCTATTCTGGATAAAAAAAAAGGTAGCGCACGATAAAAAGAAAAGAGCTAAAGATTATGCTCCAAGATGCTTGGGCTGATATCCACTCAGATATGACGAAGAACTTGGTTGAATCAGTGCCATGCCGACTTGCAGAAGTCATAAAAGCTAAAGGCAGTCCAACTCGATATTAAAAAGTCATTAAAATAATTACTTGGAGAAGAGTTAATCTTTAAGCCTTAATCTTTAAAATTTTATTCGGATTTTGTCTAAAAAATTGCATAGTTTAAATGTATCTTAATTTTGTATTAATAAAATATTATTGATATTTTTTTTTGCATATTGAATTTGTAATTAAATTTTCTTTCATAATTACCATTTTTTTTATTTTTATAAAGTTATTTTTTTCCGAAATTAACTATTTTCCATTAATAAAATGTTTAGTTCGAATACTTATTTTTCTAACTGTATATATTATATATATATATATATATCAGGCTTGGAAAGCGGGAGCGGTCGCTCTCGATTGCTGACCACAGCAATAATATATAGTTACGAAAAGCTGGCTAGATTTTTAGTTGTTTTGAGAACATTTGCGGTGGTGGTGTAGTGGTAGAGCGCTCGCTTCATAAACGAGTGGCTCCAAGTTCGATCCCCACCACGTCCCTGGTAGTACCGCGCTCAACTCGTTTCTCCGTGCAGCGGCCTTGTTACTCAAGGTTCGTGTTTCGGAGTTATAAAGTTGAGAGAGGGTTATAGCCACAAAATAAGTAGCCTCCTCGTCTGTAGTGGCCTTCTCGGCCTTGAGGAGGTGAATTAAAATAAAAAATTAAAAAAAAAAAATGTTAAAAAGCAAAAAAATATTGCGCTAAAGATGAATAAGAATAATGAGAGACAATTACAAAAAAAAAAAAAAAAAAAATTAGAAAAAAAAACAACCTTTTAACGTGAAAAAACTTAAAGCAAAATAAATTATGTTCAAAACAAATATTTTCGAAACATCGCTCTTTCATAATTTCTTTTATAAAATTAAGCGATGTTTTTTATATAAAGTAACATCTTACGATTGTTTAAAAAGTAAACAAATGTTTTTTATATAACAAAGTTTGAAAGTTTTAGTTTTATTTAAGCTTATTTAATTATTGTATAAATAAAAAAGCTAATTTTTTTATTACCTATTTTATGTTTCGCGTAGTTTGAAAAGTTTAACATATTTGAAGCAATTCTTCTTAGTAAGATAAACAAATGAAATAATTAAATCAATGAATTACTAAAGAAATTAAATTACCTAGATAGAAATCAACTAAAAAGGTTAAAAATACTATACGACAAGGAAGCAAAACAGCTTCACATTATCTCTGATGATGTATAGTGAGTGGGCTTTTTAATTTTAATTAGTATTTAAAACTTTAATTAATATAAAAAAGTATAACGAGTTTTTAAGAATAGCAACTGAAGCGAAAATAATTAGAGTTAGTAAACCAATATCTAGAAACTTTACTTTATATCTAATAATTTGCAATATATATTTGTGTTCTGTCATAACCTTAGGCGCAATGTTTGTTCATCCGTGAGTTACTTTGTATGCATTGTTTGTGTTTAGTAATTAGAAACTTCTTATATGTTTGTTACATAATTAGTTTTATTAACTTTAACGATTATAACTTCATTGAAAACGCAATTATTTTTTTAAGTCTTTGTTTAAATCATAAAAATTGCTTTAAAAGATACATTACGATAAAAAACAAATACACAAAAGTATATTTACATAAGGAATACATACTTTTTAAATAAAAAATAAGAATATACTAATAAAATCCTTAATTTATAATAAACTTTCAAAATTTTGAAAATTTAAATAATATATATTTAAAACATTTTGTAAACAAATAATAATAGTTTGTAAGATTTACGGCATTTTAGATGTGGCTCCGAGAATGAGCCATAGTATTGATAATATATTCTTAAAACAATTTATGTTAGAAATCTCAAAACAAATTGCGAATAATACAAATTTCAAAACATTTCAACAGAATACTTTAAAAATTTATTTCGCTTAGTCAGCGTATTTTTTGAACCAATAGAACTAGTTTGTTCGTTTATTTGGCAGGTTTTTAGTGTTCACGAATATTCTTTATATTCTTTCGCGCCAAAATGTTTTGAGATCATTCAAGTTTTTTATGTTTCCATGTATGTCCATAAAACAAAAAATCATTCCTTGCTATGTAATATATTTATTAACTAAAACATTTTTACTGCTGTTTTTTTTATTTGGACTGTTGATTGTTCAATACTTTGGACTGCAGTTGTTCTATACATTTATTGTGAATGATTCCAGTCTATACATTTATTGTGAATGATTCCAGTCTAAATTTAAAGGTTTACTGAGTAAAATAAACATTTTATAATCGAATGTTTCACTAAGTTTTAGCGATGTCTTTGACTATTAAACATTTTGTTTTAAGTATTTTTTACCATTCCTTGGTAGTATGTATGGTTATTTATATATATAATGTGAGTGTGTATATTTTGCTTGTAAACTTTGTGAATTAATAAAAAATTAATCTTTATCTCATGCTTCGCTTCACACTTCGCTCCACACAATTTTACACCGCTATGCAATAAATGGAACAAACTAACATTTCATTTAAAATGAGTTATTAATTGGAAAAAAAACTAACTATAAATATCTATAATAATGATAGACTTTAGCAAGAGGCTGTGAATAAATTTGTTAAAAATTTCATATTATAAAACTTAAATACTTCTAACTAAGAATTTATAGTTCTATATTGCAGAACAAAACTTATTTGGTTCTGCATTGCACATCTCCGGTAGGTTTTATCATGCGTATTACCTTTAATAATTATTACGCAAATAATTTATTTGCATAAAAATAATTTATTTGCATAAAATTAATTAAATGGGTATTACCTATAACAATCATTATTATAGGTAATACTCATTTAATTATTTTTATGTGAATAAATTATTTAAAGAAGTTTAGACTTGTTTGGTTTGGTTGTGATCAGCTTATTGTTGATAGTTTATTTTTGCTAATGTTTAGTTGATAGTTTATTGTTAAAATGTGCTCTAGTGTTCCAGTTACATTGCAAAGAACTTAAAAAATATGTAATATGTATGGTCAATAAATTGTATTATTATTATCAAATTATAAAATTCAAATACACATAGCACTTGGTTAGCACAATTGCAAATGCCCGATTTCTTAATTTTTATTATTTTAAAAACAGATTTTTTGTAATTGTTTTGTACAAATTGAATTTTATCTAATGAGTAAAAAGTTTCTTTGTTTACTATTGAAAAAATATTTTCAAAAATATTTTATATTTAGATAAAAATTACATACCTGATAACAATGAAATTTCACTAGATGAAAATTTGGTTGAGCATTTAAGAAGTTCAACAAGTTTTGCAGAGCAAGATATAGCCAATTAATTACAGGATGACCAAAAAAAGGTAGAAAACGAAAATTTCCTGCTCAAGATACAAAAACAACAGTTTTTAAGGCAAAATTTTGTTTATAAAAAATAATAGTTATTAAAATAATTTTTGTAAAGACATGTTTGTTAATAACTTGAATGT